TATATACATATACATATATATATACGTATATATATATATATCTGTGGGGCCATCTCAACATACAGTATTCTCCGTGTAACAAGATACATGTTTGTTAACAGTAGTGGTGAACTATAACAGATCCTCGCGTCGCTAACGAGCTTAGATGAACGCAAAACGCACCTTTGTGTGGCGTCAGCGCATGAGCCACCTGTGCGACTTCCTTCCGGATGGTCTCATCATCGTCGTCTTGCAGTACAGTAAGAACCAGTAGTAAGCGTGTAGCAATATCCGCACACTTCAGCAGTATCTGTGGCAAAGCGTCTGCGCAGATAAAGTCGCGAGTTATGCTCGATCAGAGGTGAAGCGATGTATGTAACGAGCAGTATACATTTATTTAGAAAGAAAACAAAGCTGGTGAAGTAGCTCTGTGAGTCTACACACTCTAGAGACTGAAGTGCCAATCGAGGCATAAGGGTGTTGAAGCTTTTCCGCAATATATTCACAGCACAAATTTTAACATCTGCAACCACAATATAGACTAACAGCACTTGACACCAGACCCACCTGACAGCAGTAAATCGCTCAAACTTCTGGTCACAGCCATTCTGGCGCGGATAGACCGTTCAGCTGCTCCGCCAATCTCCAGCACAAGCGTCATGGACTGCAGGTTGTGCCTCCACTCGACTGAGATGTCGTCCCCACCTGTACCAACGAGCAGACGGGCCGAGAGCCATGAGTTCACCGAGAGGGCTTTAGCTGAAGAGCCATGAGTTCACAGAGAGTGCTTGTGAACAGCAGGTGTGTTGGTGCTACAGTGCAAGTGGTGAAGACCTGTGAGCGTCGCATGGCGCATGTGTGTGTACTGTGTTCATTGGGCTTGGGTGTGGGTATAGATTTGGCTTCCAGCCAACGGGACACGGACTCTACAGACTCTCGACCGACAATCGGCTCCATCTGGTGAAAGGAATTCGCCAATTATTTTCAAGCAGAGAGCTAAAATTATTTTTTTTGCAAATTGTGCAGATATCACATTAGGTGTCTTCGTGAGCGCATCATAGTTTTAGAATTACAACATACAGCAAAGTTCAGCGCACCTGAGTAAGGATTTTGTGTATGGCGACAAGAGTCGGTATACGTCAAACGGAACCGACTTTCAGCACCCGAACCTAGGACTCTAAATCCCCAGTCCACACAACCGAGGAGCTATACGTCACACTGCTTGGTGAATGCATCTTTTGTTTCCCACACATCATGCAGGTGGAGTTCATAGTGGCCCTTTGTGATGTGTATTGGCGTCATGGCATATAATTGCTATAGGTGGAGTCTATATCCACTGCCGGATGTGTGCTTGTAATTTGGTTGTAGTGATACGTGTCTGTATCTGATGTGGTGATCTACTATCGAGCCACTCACAACGAGTTCAGTTGGACGATACACCTCCCGGGGAATTTATGCAACTTCAAGTCTAGAACACAGTGTCTAACACACAGACAATATACTTTGCACTGTCTGGTGGTACGATAGAATAGCCGTTGGGTCTCCGGCAGGGTTAGCCTAATGTTCGTATAGCGCTACTGTTTCGCTCTGCGCTGACACTTATGATTGAAACCATCAAAGTTTTCAATATATAAATAATCTGGTGCAGAGATACATACCGGTCTGTATTGAGAAAGCGGTCACACCACCCAGGAGGCCTAAATAGCATTCGCGTGCTCTGTTGTTGGTACACCTTAGCCGCTGTGAGCTTTCAGTGCACTTTGCTGGTACCTAGGAAGTATCATGATCGTATTGACTTGTTAGTATAGATGATTTAAGCAGCTTCGTCCACCCCCCCCCCCCCCCCAAAAAAAAAAGGTAACTTGTTCTAAGCGGGTATTAAAGTTAGGTGTTTTAACTACAGTGTTCGGGGGTTTGTACTTAGTTCATAGTTCTGTGGAGTGTCGTAACCTGTGCCTTGCCTTAAACCCGTTCGAGAAGCGTGAGTGATGTCTGCACACTACGGGTCGTACGCTAACCACTTATATACTAACACGCTACTACCTCCGTATCTGAGAAGGCTATAGTACACGGTATATCGTAGGGTATCAATTGAGTGTATCCATTGGCTGTACTTAACAATTAGATAGAATGGTTATGCCAGACTAATACAAGCGAAATAAGAAACACACAATACACAACTTTCAGAGCAAAACTGCAGCATACACATACACACGCTGCGAATGCGAGGCACCTAAGGAAGGAATCGTTACAACACACATTGCGCATGAATACTAGCGAGACATGGGGCCAAGTACTAACTAGAACAAACACCCACCGGAATATCTCTGAGGGGTGTCAGCACTCCCATATCATTGTAGTCGTACGCGCTGGCCACACACTGTCCTGCTTTGCATCGACACGTTTCGCCACAGACGACTGCACGGGCATACAGGACACGAGCCACCTCAGACGCGCTCACACATCCAGTCACCTGCAAATGAGGGTAGTATTCGATTTGATACATTTCACTTACTGTGTATATATAAAATAAACTGAGGTGTCGGATGGTAGCGACCTGTTGATTGCTTTCGGGAACTCTAAGGAAGATTAGTCTGCTACCTATACCTGCACAAAGGCTCCGCCGAGAGATGAGAAAGAGAGAGGGCGAGTACACCACAACAATAAGTTTTCAAATAACTTGGGATTTGTATGTGCATTTAGAATGTACACCAGCCCTCATAGCAGGGTATGTGCGACACAGAATACCTAAAAATAGAGGTGAGTAAATCAATACACCAGCATCTCATAGCAGGGTATGGAATACCCAAAAACAGAGGTGAGTAAATCATTACTACACGCATGCAGATGCGCCATCGTTTTTGTGTAAAATTAAGGCCAGTGCTGCTATTTTGAATATACCGAAAGATGGTGTACACTTATATTCTATTTTAACGTAGCGCCACTAGTTTCAAGTTAGAGGGGGATGAATTCATTTTTGCTTTTAAGGTAAAACCATGCAACGCGACAGTCTACTTACTTCGTTGCGTATATGTGTACATAATTCGTTGAGTATATGTGTACTTACTTCGTTGAGTATATGGACCAGCTGGCGAGGCGACACTTGTGCCAGGGCCAGACATGATGCGCTGACCAGGGGGGGATAGGTAGACTTCTGCGGTACACAGTCGAGTGCCTGAGCTGCCACTTGGATCCATATGGAGCGATTCCTTTCGCGTGCTGAGTATTGTGAGATAGTTAATCATAGTCGGTGTGTGGTTAGGGCTTTGCACACTGAATGAGCACCGCCGCGAGAATTATAGCGCTCCATACTAGCACGGACACCAGCACACGCCAGTTCAATCGAAA